CTCCTCCTCCTCCTCCTCCTCCTCCTCCTCATCATCATCATCACCATGATCATCATTATTATTATGATTAATACCCAGAGAACAGTATGCGATCACTATGGACTAATCTATCACAACACACTACACATCCTAATGGCCGAGTTTACGTATTATGTTAAAATACCAGGCAGGCAGATAATCCAATCATACTTCAATCACAGATTTATATGTCAATATCCTAGATCGTGCGCTCTGAAGTCATTCTGATTCAGTCAGAGGCGTACTGTGTGAGCCAAGTGAAGGGGGACAAGGGAAAGGGGTGGGGGGGGGGGGGGAGTTGAGAAAACACTTGACTATAGTGAGACTTGTGTTTTGCCCTTCATTTAAGCATCAATGAATGTTTTGTAAGTACTGGGCAGTAGCTAGGGTTCACCAGCAGTCTAGGGGGGGGGGGGGGGAGGAAGGGTGGTGGTGCCGCGCAAACACGACTTTAGCAAACGAAACTGGTGTACTTTTCTTCCTTTGGGCGTGCGGGGCGCACGTTTTGTGACCAAGAGTTTTTACAGAGATCGCCAAGCAGTGGACATGGCAGTTTGCGGTCTTGTAGCAAAACTCTATTGGGCAATACAGACCTGGATCTAGATCTATAACGTTACGCTCATAGGATAATTGTCAGAGTTATTTTTGGTCTGCTTAGAGTTTTTCGGTCTGAAATAAAGGGCAAAGCCAGCTTGATAATATAATCCACTTGGACAAAAGAATTTAAAAAAATGTTAAATTAATTGAGCGTACCAAAGTTCAAGCCTTTCACAGAGTCAGTGCTCGAAAAGAACAGCTTTTTTCCTCATTTTCTCAAAATGGCTGAAATAGCTTAGGCATTAATTATCTTATGAGTGTGACGATAACGATTCTAGGAACGCTCCAGTTTCATTCACCTCATTTGACAAATGTGAGATGCGCTGACAAAATGAGTTACTTCTCAAAATCCACAAAAGGAGATATTGGCCCAAAATCAACACTAGGGCCAAATTGGTAGATTTTCTATTGATGTCGTATTCTTTAAGTAAAACATGCCTTATATTATTTCCTACTTATAAATTGTAAAAACGTCACCTATAAGCGTGATGTAGCGATTTCCAAAGGGCTCGGATCCGAGAAGTAACTCATTTAGTCAGCACCTTTACAAATTCTAACAATACACATGGTCGATGTTGTTGTAACAGCCCTTGGAGGTCTGTCAGCATTATATCAAAACTGGCATACGTACGTACATACATACATCATATATTACAGGATATATAATACATAGTATATAACATCTAATATAATAATACGATATAATATAATATATAATGTATGTATA